TTGATTGAATCGTTTATTTTATTTTCTTTTATTTTCCCACAATTTGAAGCTAAAATAAAACGTAATTCAATTGACGATTAACTATTGTGTTTTTTATTTATTATTATATAAATTGTTATTTTCTTAAAAAGTGTATATATATATATATTAAATAAGAGTAGAGTTAAAAAATTTGTTAAATTTAAATTTAAAGTTTGTGATGAGTTTAACCTGCATTATTTTATTTTTTATCATTCATAGTTATGAGTAATAATTTTTTGTTACACATTTTATGAATATATTATATAAATATAAAAATTTGCAGAATTTTTTTTCAAATTTTAGTGCACCTTGGAAAATGATATCAATTGGTCACTACCTATATATAAATTGATGTTCTATTAATTCCTCATTGCTTGGACTCTGTCACACCAACTTTGTTTATATAATTTTCTCCACTATATAATTGATGATTTTAATTTAAAAAAATGGATGTTGAAATTTACTACATTATTTATGGCTTTTAAGTGCTTTCACTTCCTATAAATCAAAATTTTAATTCAAGTTGAGTCATATTTTATGAATAAAAAAATTATGTTTGAAAAAAATTACTCCTAGAAATATCTAATAATACTTAAATTTAAAATGATAATTAATATCATATATTAGATAATTACATTGTTATGGTGACTAGATGGCTAGATTTAGAATTAGGATGACGCCTCTGCTTTTGCATAAAACACAAAATGAATTATCAAAAACTTACTTTAATACTCCTCCGGTTCTAAATATAAGACGCCTTTCGTAGTCTAATTTACACTACGAAAGAGGTCTTATATTTAAGACAAGAGGAATATTATTTTTATTTTATATTTTATAATAGGATAAAGGTTCAGTTTTACCTTTAATCTTTTTAATAGTATACTTTTATTCAAAAAAAATTTTAATTTTACCGGGCACACAAAAAGGATCATGGGTAAAATTATACTTATACCCTTAATTATTAATTATAAAATAATATAAGGATGATTGGCGGGCACAAAAGGAAACTGAGTAATAGTCGGAGGGAGGGGACCAGCGGGGGTGAGGTGGTCAATTAGGGATCAAATGTCAACTTTGGTTGCTCCTCCGACTCTCAATCATGGACTTAGGTTTGCGGATCAAATTCTAATTCACCCGTTATCAATAATCAATAAATAAATAAAATAAATATATAAATAAGATATCAAAATCCTGATTCAGGTTCTTCAGTCATACTCCTATGATTTTTATTAATAAATCAGTCATGATTAATTTTTGTAATTATTGAATGATTCTCTTATAATCACTGGATAATTTTATTTTAATGATACTCATTATTATCTTTATTACAACAAACTCTAACCTATTTCATAATATTACCTATTTTATCTAAAATATTAGTGTTTTCCACTTAATATCGGTAACTAGTTATAAGATTTCATAATTTATTGACAAAACTCTTTTATCTAATGACTTTTATTAAGGCAATTTTGTTATTTTATAAAAAATAGCTGATTTAATATAAATTTGTTATTAGTTGCTTACTTTCTCTGGTCCCTATTATAGGGCATGTTTTAAAAGCAATTTTTAATTCCAAATATAATTCTACAATAGTCTCACTAATTACTTTTTTCTCCTTATTTTACACTTAAAGAGGGACAAAGTAAAAAAAAATGATTTATGACAAATTTAATCACTTAATTGTCATTCCTTAATATCTCATAAGGATCAGACAGGGTATTATGATAAAGATTCGAGAGTGTGTAAAATTATAATTCTAATTGAGTTTTTTTTTTTTTTGGGTTGAACTCATCATCACGCATACAATTTCACTTTGAGTCTCTGAGTAGTTCATAAATACTTTATAGTATAATTTTTCTTAAAAATATTGTTAACACGATTGGAAGCATGCAATATAATATTCTCGCTTATATCACTCAATAATTACATTAAATTGCAAATAGACACTCAGAAATTAAAAAAAAGAAAAAAGAAAGGAAGAAAGAAAATGGTAGTGTGGTTGGTCAAGGTTAGGAATTAAACTAAATGCAAAATGCCATATTCTTGAAAACGACCGATGGAGAAAATTAGGGGACTTTTGGGTCGTATATGACAAACTCAAAAAAGTCTTTGCTTAATTAATCGGAGAAAATAGGAAAAAGCTTGTAACTTTGAAATTGAATGAGTTCCTCTTTTTATGGTTTAAATTCAATTTCTTTTTGTTTTTATTTGTGAGTTTCAACTAATTAAGAGGAGGGAATTGGGAGAAACGGTGTGCGACTCAATTTTCAACTCTTTGTTTGATTGCCTGTATGCCTGTTTGATTGATTGTCTCTATGTCGGTGTGTACCTAATAATCCCTAACAAATCATAGGTTTTATTTACCAGCCAGTAACAATTAATTATATGTGTTTATCACCAATAAATAATACTACTACACAAATACCAATAAGCATAAGTCCTAGTTGAAAAAAGTTATGAGCACCAAGTACAAGGTCTCAAATTCTAGTTTATGTGAATGTTGAAAAAGTTTTTATAAGATTTGACAATACTCAAATTTGATCTAATAGTGTTTTCTTTTATCTTTTTTATAAATTACAAATTACAAATAACTGAGTTAAGTAAATTAAGAAGTTAGTTAAAAATAATAAATAAGTAACAAAATGTATTTTTTTTATAAATATACCTTTATTTATAGAGAAAGTGGGAGAGAGAGAATAAGTGGGAAGGAAAAAAAATGTATTTTTCAAATATACCAGTATTTATAGAGGAAGTGAGGGAGAGAGAATAAGTGAGAAGAAAAATGAGAGAAAATAAGTATGAAAAAGAGATGATAAAGACATAATTAACTGTGGGTAAGACTGAAAAAGACAAGATAGTTTTAGATATAAGATAAGTATACATATAAAAAATTATATATGCACACAAAAATATAGCATAATTTGTGGGGTTATCCTAGGGCTCATCCTACTTAGACCTATTGTGAAACAAAATCTAAGCAATGATAAAGTAGGAAATCAATAATGAAAGGATAATAAAGTGAGGGAGGGGCTGCATTCTGGCAAATGCCTCTCTGTAAGACACTAATGATAAGGTAATGAAAAGGTGATAATGGATTAATTATGAAGGTTTTGGCCAAAAGCAAAAGCATAGGGCAGATGGTGACATGTGTTGTTCTAGGAAGTTTCACGCCGCTTTAAAGTAGTAGTGAGGGGTCAATTTTGGAGACTTTGTTTTGGGTTTTGCCATTTAAACACGTGGAGTTACTATAGGTACATATTAGGTGCTATATATTAATCTAGCCTTTTGTCATTTATTTTCAGGAAAAAAAAAAAGTTAATGAAAATTTAGATAATCTTAATCTTAGAGATTACCAAAGTTGAAATAAGTCTTGTACACCTTAAAGAATGCTTATTTGATTACTTATTTAATGGTAATGGTATTTGTTTAAATTAGAGGAATAGATACTCATATTTTGATATTATAAGTAAGATTGAATCTACAACCTCCTAGTTATCATAAAGCTTTTATTTCACAGGATCACGAGGCTATTGGTGGTGGTAGCAGTATTTGAACTCCATCTCTTATATTTACATGGATATGGACTGAATTCTCACTAATTGGATCAAATATCAACATCTTATATTTGTAAGTCACACGAAACACATCATTGTAGTATGGAGCCAATAAAAGTTATTTCAGTTGGTAAGGAGTCAATTTTTGCTGCTATTGCGATGACCTTATTGACCTATAGGTGCTTTCTGAACCTGGAGACGTATTCTAATCTTAGTAAATTTTTTATATTCAATTCACCCAAATTTTATACTATTTTTAATTCATAATATAAAATCTAAATTTTTATTTAATTTAAACTACAAACTAAATCTTATATTAAGTATTGAAGGTAATATGAAAAAAAAAAGGTTGGATCAATGAAAAAAAAGGGTAATCTCAACTTCATGAACAAAGCCCTTAGAACTCAGGTCCGAAAGCTTCGTTTCTCTCATGCGATGTGGTTTGCGAAGTGTAGCCCTAATGACTAGAGCCCAAAATCAAGTCTGTAAGCTCTAATAATTTTTTTTGAATTTTACTTTCAATTTCTTGACATTTTTTTGTATATAATTAAATTGAAATGAAAATGAAAATAATGAAATGTCTTTATGGAAAAAAATTCCTCCCTTGCTTTACCTTTTCGGAGATTTCATGCTATCCCACAAAATTAGATCCTAGATTTCATGAAAAAAAAAATCACAATAACAACCAGAGCCCAAAAGCCGAGTGTTAAACGGTGGCCCTTATTCAAACCTGCTTGTCCATTTTGAGCGCAAAAAGCTTTCCCCCTTCAAACCCCCCATGTTTTAAGCTAGTGCTAGGAGAGGGAAAACAACCCACGGAGATTGGATTTAACTGAAAGAACTAGTCTCTCACAACATGAATTAATTAAGATTTAAATCATTGTTAAGAAAAATGTTTACATTTAATACTCGACAGTGCTTCGAATAGGATTACTTCCAATAAAAAAATACCTATACTTTAGTTTTAAAAAAAAAAAAGGAGAAAAAGTAGGGTCCACACTAATGTGTATTGCCTCACCATAAAAAAAAAAAATTATATATTGAGGAATTTTCTTGTAAATAACTAGATCGAAGTTTTGTTTTTATTCGTAAATTGAACGAAGTTCATTATACATAACTTAAAAAGATGGAAGAGATTAATAGTACAAAAAATTATATTAAAAGGATAAATAATCAACACCATATTATACTCCATCAAAGAGCAAATTTGACATTAAAAAAAAATTATTCACATAAACTCGAAAGTTTTTGGGGGCGGGGATTCCTTGTCGAATTTTAAAATTGAAAATTGGCCCCAAAAAATTTAAAATTGAAAAAGATTATCTGCACGTGGTTGGAAATTTAACACATCAAGTCTACCCCATAGAAAATTACTTTATTGGTTGCCCAGAAGAGGGGGGGGGGGGAGTTACTTCATTGGCAACATTCATGAACCGCGTAAAAGCACCTCCCCGCTTGGGAGAAGGCGTTCGATTGCGACTGATATAAAATTCAAACCACAAGGGTATAGAGTGTTGCTCTCATAAAGCTCAAGGGAAGTGAAAGATTAGTTAGAGCTGAAAAAAGGGTTTGTGTGTGTATTGTTTTTCTTTCCCCCCTTTTGTTTTTGTTCTTTTTTTTTTTGGGGGGGGGGTGTTTGCCACTTTACCCAGAAAGCAGACCTTTGAGGCGAAACAAAAGTCAAAATTAAATATTTTATACAAAAGATCAATTGGGACTTTCCCCTAACATATGGAACGCATGGTTGATACTTCTCAAAGATCAATCCTAACCTCTCTGTGTATTGAGTACTGCAATTGGAAGGCATATCTGCACAGCCACCACAGCCTCTGTATAATCTTTCATTATTCGCCTTCACCTGTTGGCAGATTCCGCAAGCACAATGTCAGCGAATGCTGAAAATATATCAAGAATCTAAAACATTATCAAAAGGGTTCCTCTTCATTTAATAGCATATGGCCTAATATAAATCTTCCTATCAGCTGGAGAACATAGCCTCAACATTTTAACATCACAAGATCCATAGTCAAGACTGACTAACAGACTGCAGAAGTCCAAATTCTAGTTTTTGGATCTTGCTTATACAGTGCTGTTGTGCTGATTGCAGAAGGGGTCCAAAATTCTGATGTCTATGGAGTCATACTATCTTACACTAATGCATGTGACAAGTGACAAAATATACTTTTGGCAGGAAAAAGAAAGGAAATGTAAACTGAGCAAGAAGAACACTGCAGGAATTCAAACTTCCAGGTTCCAGCCTGAAATGATGTAAAGCATTATGTGAATCTGTGACGATCTATGTTCAGTACTTACTGTTTTTGGAGTTTTTGGGGTCCATGTGTACGAAGAAACTGGCCGCAACAATGAGATAGCATAGAATAAGCATCAAGCCTTTAAAATAATTAGAGGTCCCATCCTGCAAGGATGACGGAAATTTGGAGAATAATTATCGTTAAACTTCAATGACAGCAGCAAGAAGTAAAACATAACACACCAAAATGATGAACATATGAGCATTTAAAAAAGGGATTACTAATCAAAATGAAATTTCAGATTCCAAGATTCTTCAAAAAATATGATATCTAAATTACTCCTCCGGTCCTAAATATAGGATCTGATTGTTGAGTTAATCTTGGTCCTAAATATAAACCTTATTTATCATATTTATTAATTTTCTCTAAATTACCCTTACCCCTATTGATACTCCTTCAACCATAATCGAGTAAGAAAGGGAGGGAGAATATCAAAGAAGATCATTATAGTGTTTTAGGAAAAACATGTCATATTTCTTATAATTAACTAATTACCTAAATTCCTTAATCTAATCAATTTAATTAAATAGGTCTTACGTTAAGGACCAGAAGAGTAATACTTTTTGTTCTTTGCTTTCAATCATCAATTGTATGATTGGGCCATGTTAAGTTGCTAAAACACACACATAGTGATTATTCAGAATTCACAATCAAGGTAGATATAAAAAAAAGGCTTCCAATTTTGCGAACTGGTTTGCCCAAATTTCAAGAAATCATCCAGGTTAAGATTTTTTGTGTTTTATTATCAGACCATTGTAATAGCTGAATTATTCAAAATTTTTATTATATCACTCTGGTCCTCAAGAGCCTGTTGTCTTCCTCCCTTTCTTTCTTCTCTTGTCTCCAGAAAAACTTGTTTTGTATTTCTCCCTTCACTCTAAACCAGTAAATTACTTGTCCGCCTAAAAATGCCTCACAAGAGTGCTAATTTCCAACTAGAGTGGCTTCAGGAGGCTGGAAAACAATAACAACCACCAATAAGTGACAACACCACAAGGGACATATAAAAAACCACATACCTGCGACATAAATGCGACAACAAGCACGGTGATGAAAAGTGTAGCAGTCTCAAAGAGTTGGAAATTCAAGTCCATTGGTTTTCCCATGCACCACCCAACTACCACACAAAAGGGGATCTGCAATTATCAACACCATAGAAATCATCAACCTTGTTTGAAAAATTGAAAAGTCAACCACATTCTTCCCAAGAAATAGTGAAGTTGTTGTTGTTTACAAAATTTAATCCCACAACACAATAACAGTGTAATACCATACCACAAACATAGATATCTGAGTAGATGATCCAATAGCAACTCCAAGTGTAATATCCTGCAGAGAAATTGACACCATAAATAAACTGAACAGCATCTATAAATTAAAACGCGGACTTTGGAAGTCACTCACAAGCTTGTCCTTCATGGCAAACATGATAGCACTTGCGTGCTCTGCAGCATTTCCTACAATTGGAAGCAATATGACACTTATAAATGCCACTGGTATATTCCATGACTCAGATGCCCCCTGCAGTAAAACAAAGCACGCAGCACATCTCTGAATAAGCCCAAGACACAATGGCCAATGACAAGGATCAGCGTTCTCTGCTATAAACATTGACAGTAACGCAGCAGATTACAAACAGTATATCTCTCGTAAGAATTATCAGTAATCACAAAGCAATTACATTTAACTATATAAACGTTAATTAGTTAGCTGCATACCACACTAAACTTTAGCAGCAGAAGGTTCATCTCAACTACAGCCAAATGAATTCATGCTATAATCAAAGTAGAAAATACTTAGCTAAAAATAACAAATATAATAAAACACCATGAATAATCCTGATAGGATTTTTAAGGAAATAAACACCTCAACCACTGATTCTGTGGGAAATTAAATTTAAGATCAAAATGCTACCATTCGTCTATATGTAATGATGAAGAGAATATAAAATCATCCCAGACACTTCAATGCTAAAGATCAAAGAGTTGCACTAGGACAACTTTCTCAGAAGCTAGACCATATATGGTTGTAGCCATAAAGGAACAAGGGTATTAGTTTTATGACAAAGTTTCCTCCATTTTGTGCTGTGAGAGGCAGAAACAACCTTACTAGAAAGTTAAAACAGTATCAAGGAAAAATGTCAATATTAAGAAAATAATTATATACGCCAGAACTCAACATCACAAAAGTATAGACATTGAGGAGATAAATAACAGAAGCATAATGATCATGTGTCTAAGATAAATATACCTCTATGGCATCAACAAGATATCCAGACAAAATAGAAACCCATGCTGTCAAAATAGCAAGCCAGCCTATCGCCTCCCATTTTGTTAATTCACATTCTTCTTCCTCATCAGGATTTTCATTACCATCTCCTTCCTACATTTAAACAAGTACACTTGCATAAAATCTTTTTCAACTGAAAATAAATATCAAGCATCTTTATTGTCTATCAAACAAAATCTTCAAAACAAATAGCCCGTCAAAAAATGAGCAAGTAAAAGAAAATTTTTCAATTTTCAGGTATAGGAAAGAGGATGGAAAAAAAAATGTTCCCACTGACAACTCCCACAATATAAAGCCATATACCTTTATCATGCATAAATCTCAAAGAAATTAATGATAATGTATACTCTGAATTTCATCAAACAAACCATATTGATTCGAGTCCTGAGCGATCCTACCATCTTACAAGAATAAACACAAAATTTAAGCAAAATCCTACATCTCACACACTGCCTTCTTAGTCAATTCTTCCATTTTCTTCCTTGATTTCTTTAATTTATTATTATTTTTATTTAATTATTAATTCTCCTCTCACCTTCTCATGGAAGATGGCAATATTCTTAATTAATTGGCATATTTAAATCAAGTAACCAGATAAAACATACATCACTTCTTTTCAGGTGTGTCTTGAAAGTGGCACCTGATACAGATAAATATATCTTTCATACTCTAAACCCATATGATAATAAATAATTCCCTTACTAGTAAAATGGCGACTAGCAAATACATATTATCTGTTCAAATGAAAAAAGCGACTGAACGATATAACATGGGTTGTCTTTTCTAACAAAACAATCTTACATCGCAAAGCTTGACAAGAAGCCAAAAGAAATATTTTATGACAATAAGCACTAACCTCTTCAAGTGAACTATAATTATTGTGATGACTTCTTAGTTGAAAGAAAAGGTAGCTAGCATATGCTATTAGCATTATACAGCTACTAAATCTGGATAGAGCAAGCTCTGACTTGCCAAAGTGAACCTCTGAGTGAGTAAAGTGAAGGACGGCAGGGAACAGTATTCCCATTACAGCCATCAATAGCAATCCCGAATTCACAACAGCAGGTGCCTGTTGCAAAGGTCAATTACAATGTGACCTATGGAACATCAAGAGGACAAAAATGGCCAAAAACAGGATTTGAAACCATAATTAGGTCATGACGAATACCTTGTCAAAAACCTGAACCTTTTCGTAGTGGACAATCCCACCGGTAAAGAATGCACATCCCAGAACAAGAAGCATATTTGACAAGATTGAACCCAGTAAAGATTGCTGAACAACCCTAATCATCCCATTTTTCAAAGCA